TCTAATGTTCCTCCTCAAAAACATGTTCTAATGTTCCTCCGCAAAAACATGTTCTAATGTTCTAATGTTTCAAAAACATCTGTTCCTCCTCAAAAACATGTTCTAATGTTCCTCCGCAAAAACATGTTCTAATGTTCCTCCTCAAAAACATGTTCTAATGTTCCTCCTCAAAAACATGTTCTGCTCTTCCTCCTCAAAAACATGTTCTGCTGTTCCTCCTCAAAAAACATGTTCTAATGTTCCTCCTCAAAAACATGTTCTAATGTTCCTCCTCAAAAACACTTTTTAATGTTCCTCCTCAAAAACACTTTTAATGTTCCTCCTCAAAAACACTTTTAATGTTCCTCCTCAAAAACAGACCTGGACTTGTGTTTGTTTCATTCACATTTGAGTAAAACTTTATTATTAGTCTGTCCACATCTACAAAGCTCAAAATGCTCTGTTCCACTTCATGATGTGTGGTTCAGTTCTGGTTTAATCAAGTTCAGGTTCTAAGTTTGTTGTTATTTCTTCATACAAAGAATTGAAATTGTGTTTCTTACGATTCCCTGCATAATAAATAAATATTAAATGGTAAATAGTGCAAAAGGCACTATTTAAAAATATAAAACTATATCTGTTTATATATTATAAAAGGCACTTCAAATTCAAATTTCAAATTCATATTTAAGAAGTTCATTGTCAAATTTCCAAATAAAAAAAATATATATATTATGTTCTTACTCTCAATTTTCTAAATTAAATAATAATAAAGTAAAAGTCCAAAGTGTTTCTTTAGGAAGACACTTAATCCTGGTTTAATCCTTGTTTAGTCCTGGTTTAGTCCTGGTTCAGTCCTGGTTTAGTCCTGGTTCAGTCCTGGTTCAGTCCTGGTTTAGTCCTGGTTCAGTCCTGGTTTAGTCTTGTTTAGTCCTGGTTTAGTCCTGGTTTAGTCTGGTTTAGTCTGGTTTAGTCTGGTTTAGTCCTGGTTTTAGTCCTGGTTCAGTCCTGGTTTAGAGTCCTGGTTAGTCCTGGTTTAGTCCTGGTTAGTCCTGGATTAGTCTGGTTAGTCCCTGGTTTAGTCCTGGTTTAGTCCTGGTTTAGTCCTGGTTTAGTCTTGTTTTAGTCCTGGTTTAGTCCTGGTTTAGTCCTGGTTTAGTCCTGGTTTAGTCCTGGTTCAGTCCTGGTTTAGTCTTGGTTTAGTCCTGGTTTAGTCCTGGTTTAGTCCTGGTTCAGTCCTGGTTCAGTCCTGGTTCAGTCCTGGTTCAGTCCTGGTTTAGTCCTGGTTCAGTCCTGTTTTAGTCCTGGTTTAGTCCTGTTTAGTCCTGTTTTAGTCCTGTTTTAGTCCTGGTTTAGTCCTGGTTTAGTCCTGGTTTAGTCTTTAGTCCTGGATTAGTCTGGTTTTAGTCCTGGTTTTAGTCCTGGTTCAGTCCTGGTTTAGTCTTTAGTCTGTTTAGTCTGGTTTAGTCCTGTTTAGTCCTGTTTCAGTCCTGGTTAGTCCTGGTTTAGTCCTGGTTTAGTCCTGTTTTAGTGGTTTAGTCCTGGTTAGTCCTGGTTCAGTCCTGTTTTTTCAGTCCTGTTTTTAGTCCTGGTTTAGTCCTGGTTTAGTCCTGGTTTTGTCCTGGTTTAGTCCTGGTTTAGTCCTGGTTCAGTCCTGGTTTAGGTTAGTCTGTTTTAGTCCTGGTTTAGTCCTGTTTAGTCCTGTTTTGTCCTGGTTTTAGTCCTGGTTTAGTCCTTTCAGTCCTGGTTAGTCTTGTTTTAGTCCTGGTTTAGTCCTGGTTTAGTCCTGGTTTAGTCCTGGTTTAGTCCTGGTTTGGATCAGTGTGGTCTGGGCTCTTTTCTTCTTCTTGGTGTTGGTTCGTTCTCTCCTCTCGCTGGAGTTAAACTCTGACAGTCTCATCTGCCCCGGGACAAACTGACATGAAGTGTCTTGCCCAAGGACACGGCGGATCTTCCAGTTTTAGACGCTCGCTGTCCGACCTGAACCTGAGGCGCTGCAGAAACTCAAATCTCAAATTCACATCAAAGTTCCAAGAATTTTAAGATTTTTTTTTCCCGTGTATTTTCCTGCAGTTATCAACTCTTTTTATTCTCTCTTTTTTTCTCTCTCTCTTTCTCCTTCTGTCTTTCTCTCTTCTTCCCTAACTTCTGCACTTCTCCTTCCTTCTCTCCCCTTTTCCTTCTTCTCTACCCCCTGCTCTCTTTCTCTCCTCTCTCCTCCATCAATCTTTTTCTCTTCCTCCCGTTCACCCCCTCTCTCCTCCTCCTCCTCCTCCTCCCTTCTCTTCTCCCTCTCTCTCCTGTCTCCTCCCTTTCTCTCCTTTCCCTCTTTCCCCCTCTCTCTTTCTCCTTTCCCTCCCTCCCTCCTTCTCTCTTCTCCTATCCTTTCTTCCCCACTCTTTCCCTCCTCTCCTCTCCTCTCTCCCTCTCCCCCTTTCCCTCCCTCTTTCTCCTTCTCTCCCCCTCCTTCCTTCTCTTCTTTCTCCTCCTCCCTCTCTCCTTCTCTTCCACCCTCTGTCCT